GGGACGTTTTTTTGCCCTTCCAATCCCCCCTCCTCCCGTCCCATCCCTCCAGGAAAAAGCCCGTGAGGCCCTGACCAATTCTGGCGAGTGTACGGATAGACTGGGGTGGAACTGGGCAGAGAAACCTTGGCCAAGTCTACCAGGTAGCCCTTGTCGCTAAGCGTTCTGTACCTGCGTCTGCCCAGGTTTTGCCCAGGCAATTTTCACGCCCCCTATTACTGGCCTCAGGCCGCCTGCGAATCCTTCGACGAACCTGAATTTGGGAGGGATTTTTTGTATGGAATTATCAGTGGGTCGAGAGTCGGCACATATCCACACCGAAATGGCGGTTCCCTGTCCTTAATAGGCCATACCAAGAGCCTCGGCGGACAGCTCCTTTGCTCGCTTGGAGATGTAAAGTGGATTCATCACCGCGAGCTCCGGTTCGTTGCATAACTTTGCCATGGTAAACGTGTGCGCAATTCTCATCAATGGAGGTGGGGGGCCATAGCGAAGCGAAATGTCAGCAACAAAAGAGCATTCCAAGGATCACATGATATTGGGTCGGAATTGAATATAGTAGGTTATCTTGATTCAAAGTGCGCGTTGATAAATGATAACCACCCTGAAGCCCCTGCCATCCGATGATATATGCGTATATACAAAATATGATGTGATCATTATCCCAATGTCCCTGAAAAATTCATTATTCTAGTTGGTGCAGATATCAATGCTCGCTAACAAAAAATAGCCAATGTCCAATGTACACATTACCATTGTATGGTCTGTTTCTCGTTTTTGATTCTCTTATGACGATGCCTTGATCTCCATCGATAGGGTCGGTACGCGGAACGTGACAACGTTGGTGGCTGAGAGCGCTTCGGAACCAAGACCCATGTAGCCGAGATATGTCGAGGTCGTAGGGAAGTTGGCGTTGGTCATGGTGGTAAGCTTCGTCAGAAGGGGGGCGAGATCGCCGACAAAGTGCTCGATCGTTGCCGTGGCCTTCCAGGTCAAGACGTATTGGCTCAAACTATTTTGTCCAAAGAAGAGTTGGCTGCAAGGCAAGTACTATTAGCTTTGACTCCCAGAATCCCACATTCCAATCAAGGATATCGGGGAAGCAGCAACTTACAATGTGGTTCCGTTGATCGTCTCTGTGGTAAGTGCGCCGGCGCCATTTTGGTACCCGATGGGCTGTGTCGCTGCGCCAAATGTGCCAAACCACACCATCACTTCGTACTTCGCCTTGGTACTGTCTTGCGCCGAGGTCTTGTCGTCGTCCAAGAACATATCGATGGCGACGTTGGTGTTGGTGTCATTGTCGGTAAGCTCAGTCTCGTCGGTGTTCGTCGCAGCTGCGCCATCGGTGGTATAGTTGCCGACAGAGTAGGACCACTCGACATCTACGTTAATGTTTGAGAGCTTGGGAATGGAGACCGGGAGAGAGCTGCCGTCGACCTTGATGTTGGGGAAAGCGTGGACGGGCTGCGTCTCGGGGCCACGGGGGTAGCGCCATGTGACGTAGAACTCGGGGGCGCTGAAGTCGGTATCGTATGTCTGGTTGTTGAATGTGGTAACCTGAGGCGGGGAGCGACGGGTTAGCTGCGCTGCTCATGGTTGATGGCCATGCTCGGCGACACTGCAGCTTCAAGCTATGCAAACATTGAAGCTGCAGTGGAAGGCTTGGCCCTGGTGATACCAAACCCCGCGATGAAGATGGGCGGAGGAGGGGTTAAGAGTCAACGTACATTCATACACAAGAGACCATCTGTGCCTTCTGTCCAACCCCACTGGTTCGGGTTCACTGTTGCGTCAAAACAGAAATCGTCAGCATGCTGTTGTCTTGTTGTAATAAAGAAAAGATCCCGTGTGTATCTGCAAGATCAGGAAGGCCAGCCAACTGGACCGGACGGCCAGGTTGCGCCCGCCCAGACAGGTTTCGCATTTCAAGGGAGCAAAAGTCAAAACAAATCTACGGCTCATGCCATGAAGCATGACAAGGTCCGCGGGCCAGAACACACAAACAAAACACGGGAGTCCGTGTTGTTCCCAAAGAAAAACGCAAAATAGTTCAGATGACATAGAGACAGACAGCGCGCAGAGCATCCGCAACGGGAGAGGCTTGACTGCATCGTGGTGTTCGGCCCGTACCGCCGCATGTTGCGGAGAGGCAGGTTCCTGTGGAGGAGACAGGCGACGATGAAGACATCGCGAAAGCCTGATGAGAAGGACTTGACTTACGTGTGTACTCCTGACCCTTGGACAGAGGGTGAAGACCCATTGCCTTGTCGCATGATACCATTGCCGTGATGCCATTGTTCTTTGGTGTCGTGCCCGGGTTGTCAGGCTCGGTGAAAATTGGCGATTGTCCGTTTGAACTCCTGCCAGCGTCGATTCCAATGAGGATACCGAGAGTCGCTCCGATGGGGACGGCCAGCAACACGAAGTTGACGACCCAGCGGAAGCCGAGGAAAGGCATTTTGAATAGGGAAAAGAGAGAGTAAGGAAAACGAGCGTAAGTGAGTGCTTTCTACGTCTCTCTTCGAGCTGTTTTGCTGCAGTGATCCCTTCCAAAAGACGACGATGCGGACAGGCTCAGGCGGAAATCCGACGCAATTCGTCTACTTCTATTCGCAGCAGCACATGCAGAGGAGCGAAAGTGGTGTCGTCGGTGACGGTCGGATTCTGGTTTAGGTATGGGAGGGTAGGTAATCGATTAGGTGGGTGGGAGGTTCAGGTAAGGAGAGGTTCAAGCCAGGTCTGTCTGGTCAGGTAAGGGTATGTCAGGGAACGCGGGCGCGGGCCTCGACTCGTGCAGGTATCCAGGGGACAGGGAAAGGGGGTGTGGAAAGGGGGCGTGTCTGGATGATCCGAGCACCGTTGGGTGAGGCTTGCTGTCTGCGTGGTGAGAAATGCAGTCACAGGCCACAGCAGACAGCAGAGTCAGACAAGTAGACAGTCGGCGAGCAGAAAGGCTCCAGACGAGGCTTGTTCAGTCGGCAGCGATTAACTGTACAATGTACGTCAGGGCCTGGGATTCGAGCGCAAGAACAGGCCAAGCCAAGTGAGGATATTGGAAAAGAAAAATGCAGAACTGAGGCGCGTCGGGCAAACGAACGTCCAGAAAGAGTCTACGAGGATAAGAACCCCTATCCTCAACCGCGGCGCAGCACGCCACCCCGGAAAGGCTTGTCCTCTTTTCTGCAGCCAGTGCAGCAGACTGTAATTACCTCGTCCTCCTTGCTCGTGCTTATGTTCACCAATTGCTCTGCCAGTCTGAATCCCAAACAAACCGGGCGGAACGCGATGGGCAAGAGAGAAAAAAACGAAACGAAAGGACCAAAGTCCTGGAGCAAGCAGACGGTGTAAAGCCTGGTCCGTTGGGGACGTTTACACCGGCGAGGATCTATCTGGGACCGGCTGCTTTTTTTTTTTTTTCTTCTTTTTTTTTGCCTCCTCAAAAATAAACCCCCTTCCAATGCTGAGTCCTAACTTGTGTACGGATAGTATGCGGATATGTGGTGGTCCATCCATTCCATTCCATCATCCCGTCGTTCCCCCTCCTCCGAAAAGGCCCAAAGCTCAAGCAAACTTTTGCCAGCTAGACCGGGCATCTCAGATCACAAAATCGACGATTGCAGGTCCTGCTTCTGAATCGGACCGGCCCCTGGCCTAGCGCCAGTCAATGTGCCGGCTGCCTTCGGTCATCCTTGCATAAATGGTACCCGCATTTCTAGAACACGAGAAAAAAGCAGGGATTTGTGAAGATAACGGCCCTGCAAGTGGATAAGAACCAGACTGCCATCGACGGCCTTGGACGCGGACTCTGGGATGGTCCTGGAAGTCATTGGACGGTCCTGGGATGGCCCTCATTGGCGAACATTGTCATCCGAACAGTGGGCTCGGCCCCTCCTCGAGGAAAAAGAAAATAATAGGAAGCACAGCAAAGGAGGGCGCAAAGACTACCCGAAATCAAGGTTCAAGAGTCAAGATTCAGAAGAGAGAGAAAGAGAGACAGCTGCCCGGTTGTCCCTGTCTTGCTTGCTACAGAGCATCGCGGAAGAGGTGGGAAAAGGTCAAGGAACTTGGCTCGAGTCACCATTCATGACAGCTTTTTTTTTGTTTTCCTTTTCTACGACCACTAGCCGTACTTTCCTTCCCCTAATGTCTTTCAAGTGGAGACTCTTGGCCCCTGGTTATGTCCATCTTTTCTGACCGAAACATCCAATCCTTTAGTGAGCATATGCGAGCGGACGAGGGAGAACGTGCCCATAGGTGGCAGACTCTCCACTAACTCGACCCAAGAATCAAAATAACATAGAAAAGAAAACAACAAACCAACGGCGCGGCGGTCGAACCCAGCCAGTAGGCTTTCGGGGTTGCGAGTGGCTTGATGGGCTTGCTAGGCAACACAAGCTAACCTGATCCCCGGCGTCCGCGCGCCGCTCACACCCTTCCTGGAGACCTCCCACACCCCCCCCCCCTTCCCTTCCCTTAGGACCATGACTGCTGAAGCAAGCGCTTGGCTGTCTCCCTCCATGCCCAGTCCAGCTGGCTTGGTATCTGTTGCCAATGCCAATTCTCTCTATCCCACCCGGCTGGCACGACCTCTCTACGGAGTACTATGACTATGTATGCATAGGGCTACGTAGGAGAATCAGAGTCAACTCCGACACTGTCTTCAGAAATCAAAGAGTACGAAAGCGAATAGGCATTGGGAGGCAATAACCCAGGACAGCTTGGCAAGGCAGGCCACTCGAATCCAAGGTGGCACAGACCTGACCCGGGGCGAAATGTGAAATGGGGCGAGTCCATCACAGATTCACCATCCTCGCGCCCAGACTGGACAGGCCGATGATGTGGGCTCCATCAACCTGGACCTCCCAATTTTAATCACGTCAGGCTCTCGTCGGATCGTAATCAGGGCAGTGAGGCTTAGCGGAGTCCGAGTGGGTTCCCGTTAAGTCATGTATGTCCCTGATGTGTCCGCGGGCCCTCCCAAGCAAGCTCCTAGTCCCATGTCTTGCTTGCCAATTGCTCCTTTCCCCCAGACTGATCCCGTTCCCGTTGACCTTACCCCCCGAGAAGCACAAGAGAAGAGAAGCCCGGCCTTTTGTCAATCCGTCTCTTTTCTTGTACACTCCCTCCCCCAGACCTGACCGGCATTCTGATTCCTGTCTGTCAAGTCAGTCCAGGCTCTTGGAAGTCTGTGTTTGGGTGCCACTTGTGCAAAAGCTCCTCCTGTTGGATGACATATCGGTCGATGCTCCTGTGCTGCAACTCCTCCTACATGTACTAAGCGGGTCGACTTCTTTTTTCCTTCGATCCCAATACTTCTTCCCTTTACATCACCACCCACATTCGTTTTTCAACCAAAACGTCCGTCCAAGTCTCGAACTGAACTTGGCGGAAGAGAAAAGAGCAGGGAGAGCGAGACGCGCGGGGATTTACTATTGTTCCTGTTTTACCTGCGACCCAGCCTCTTACACGCACTCTGGCTGTCCCTTTGGTTTCGGCACACACACACAACGTTTCCGCCCTAGACACGCTATTCACTCGTTCATTCCAGCCATCGGTTGGTCAACACCGCAATCATGATGGGGGGACACGGAAGACCGCAGCAGGGTCAGGATTACCCCGAGGGGGAAATGGTGGAAATTGATGTTCTTCAAGGACATCATCACCCTCACCAAAATCAATATCAGCCGCCGTATCAGAACAACAACCAGCAGATGCAGCAAAACCAGCAATACCAACAACCTCAGTACCAGGAGCAATACCAGGAGTACTCTCAAAACCCGTATGGTAGCCCGTACCAGAACGAACCGACCCAGTCCCAGGAGCAATTCGGACGCGCTCTGACGAATAACGCACCTTCTCCGTACCAGCAACAGGAAGGGTTCCAGCCGCCGTACAACCAACAACAACAGTACCAGCAGCCTCACGCTGTCTCCGGGGACGAGTTGTACGGACCTCCCGGTTGGGCAAACCGTCACTCGATAGGCATGGCTGGCGCACCTTCAATCGGGCCCTCGATCTCGGGGATGGACACGCCGGTCGAGTCCCGCTCAGCGACGCCTACGTTGAAGAGCGGCGCGAACACGCCGTTTGACCATTTGGCTGCCCCGAGGCATCCATGGTCGACCGACTCCACGCCTAACAGCCCAATGGTATGACAATCCTTGATGAATTCACGATAGTCCCCAAACCGCTGACACTTTGAACAGAACCAGAGCCACCAAAGTTTGCAAAACTTGCTCCCCGGACAGGCCTCACCGGTCCTCGCCAAGGAGTGGGTTGAGGGCAGCGACCAGATTGCGAGACTTCACAAGCGCGACGACTCCGACATCTGGGGCGGCTGGAAGCGCCACGTCTTCCGCATGGTTCCTATTCTCACCATCCTCGCTACCGGAATGTACCTCGTCTACCTCGGCCTCCGTATCTACTGCGTCATCTCTGCTCAACAGCTCGCCAAGGAAATCTACGCCCAGGCCTGGGTCTTCATCGCTGTCGAAATTACTGTTGCCATTCCCTCAATTATGCACAACATCTGGACCATGTGGTCCATGAAGAAGCGTCAGCGCCCTAAGTTGAGACTTATGGGTGAGGATGTTCCCACCGTCGATGTTCTGCTCACTTGCTGCGGTGAAGAGGATGATTTGGTTCTTGACACCGCCCGCGCTGCCTGCGACGTCGATTATCCCCGCGACCGGTTCCGCGTCATTATCTGCGATGACGGCAAATCCGAGGGCCTGGAGAGCGGTATCGCAGCCTTGGCCATGACTTACCCCAATGTTCACTACCTCTGCCGCCCCAAGTACCCCGGTGTGCCTCACCATTTCAAGGCCGGTAACCTGAACTACGCCCTCGATTTTGTCCACACGATGCCCGGCGGCGCTGGTCAGTTTATGGCTGCTCTCGACGCTGATATGGTACGTTCAAACCAGCCACAGCTCACTATACCCTTCAATGATGACCCCGTCTCCCGCGATTTTAAGGTTTCGCCCAATGTTCAACCTCAGCTAACTCTGAACCTGCAGATCCCCGAGCGCGACTGGCTCCGTGCCATTCTGCCTCACATGCTCATTGACCCCAAGGTGGCCCTCGCCTGCCCCCCGCAGCTGTTCTACAACACCCCGCCATCCGATCCTCTCGCCCAGTCCCTGGACTTCTTCGTTCACGTCATTGAGCCCATCAAGGACGCCCTCGGCGTGGCCTGGTGCACCGGTTCCGGCTACTGCGTACGTCGTGAAGCTCTTGATGAGATAGGAAACTTCCCCCTCGGCTCCTTGGCTGAGGATGTTGCTACTTCTACTTTGATGCTTGGAAAGGGCTGGAAGACGGCCTACATCCACGAGCCCCTCCAGTTTGGCACCGTCCCCGAGGATTATGGCGGCCATCTCAAGCAGCGTACCCGCTGGGCCATTGGTACCGTCGACACGTCGTTCAAGCTCAACTTCTGCTTGTACGGTGAGAAGGTCAAGCAGATGACGGTCGCGCAGCGTTTTTCTGGCTTCCTCTACGCTACGCTCAGTCTGTACACGATTCTCCTGACCCTCTCCATGTTCGCCATCCCGATTATCCTGGTCATGGGCAAGCCCCTGGTCGCCTACGCCAACTATGAGCAGCTCCGCTGGCTCATCCGCGCCTGTTTTGCCGCCACGCTCACCAACCGTTTGTGCGAGTTTGCTCTCTTCATCCCCGCGGGCTACCACACCGGCCAGCGCGGTTCTCGTTACCAGCTTTGGATGTCTCCGTACATCGCGCTTTGCATCATCCGCTCATTCATCCTCCCCACCTGGCTCGGTGGTCAGACGCAGGCCTTCAAGCCCACCGGATCCCTCGGCTCCGCCCTCAATGAGCGCGACCCCAAGACCCGCAAGGGCATGTTCCGCCGTCTTTGGGGTATCCTCTTCAACTACATGGCAATCTTCCACCTGGCTTTCGTCTACCTCACCCTTGTCGGCGTGGTTCTGACCTCGTACCGCTGCTTCTACGTCAACGATGAGCTCCGCGATATCCTGATGTGCCTCATTACCCACGCCTTCTGGCCGCCCCTGACTTTCATCTTCATCTGCAGCTCGCTCTGGACGCCTATCGCCTACGCCATTGACCCGCCGAACATGCCGGACCGCGAGCAGCTCCTCGAGCGCGACCCCAAGACCTTTGTCGCCCACCCGACACCTCAGAGCAAGAAGATTGCCTTTGGCGGCCAGGCTGCGTGGTTCGAGACCGAGTTGACCGTCACCTCGGCCTACACGATCCTCGTCTTCGTCCTCTCCTTCATCTACTAGATTGCTTCAAATCAACTCATAGCATCGTTGTTTTATCACACACACATAACGCGCGGGACAGGCGGCGCCTACGGGACGCGCTTAACATTTGCACACGGCACAATGTGCGCGTATCACAGACGTACAAAACCAAAGATGACTGTTACGATAATGTAATGCCTGTAACTACTGCACATAGATCAGTATAGAATTACGCAACAATAAGGGGGGCGCGGAATATGTCATCATCATCATCATCCCCTGCTGGAAGGGAAATCAGGGTCAACAAACATTATACATATTTCTCATCATGTTCGAAATCAGAATACATAAAAACATTCATAAAAAGCTTCTCCACAAGTTCCAAATGCCTCAAAAAACTATAGAATGCGTAAACCAAATTCGGACTCTTGGCATGATCAGCCATTGGTTTCAGAGGCGCTACTGTTTTTCCCGCGCGAAGGAGAAACATCCCTCGGGAAAAACACAAGTGTCCAGTTTTCCAATGAATTGGTCCGAGCTATCAAAAGCCTACGTACACTATACAGTCTGGCTGCATGTGTGCAAACTTGTGCCTGAGCTTGTCCAGCTTTGCCTACGTGTGGCGTGCGGGAAGGCTGGCTGCTAAGACAAGCTGCCACTAGCCGAGCCTCTCATTCGTCATGGACACCAGTTCGTCGTCGTGCTAAAAGCCCGCGCCTCGTTGAATGTCTCGCTGAAGTCGCTGCGAATGTGCCCTCAGTTGGTGCTAGTCTGCACTCAGGAATGCGGACAAAACGCCGAATCGATTCGATGGCACGGTGAGGTTCCAATTTGCACAATGGTGGCTCAGCACAGCCCGTTTTCCTTTCCTTCTGTTATCGATTATCTCGCCGATGTTTCTCTTTGCAGCGGTTGTCGCGCAAGAAGCATCACAATGGGATTGGCATGGTCACATCAGGTTGCCATGCTACGAGTCACTGATCCAGGAAACGACCAGCCACCTGCAGACCGTCACTGCGTATCACGAAAAGAAAAACAGGCTTGGCTGATGTCGTTCTATGATCTGCCCGGCTGTCATGCCGTGTAATGGTTGCACCGTATCCGTATCGCTTGTTGCAGTAACAACCGCGGCTCCCATCCGGACGCGAAAAGCCACTCGTGGCCAACATCGGATTCGGACCTCCCCCTCTCTATGCAGACTCTAACAGACTTGCAGTTCGAATCCCGACTCCCAAGCTCCCGAGCCTCCCTCCCTTCCTCTCCCTTATCACACTACAGGCTTACGTTCGGCTTTGCCGCGCAGTGGGCAGCCGGGTGCCAGGTGGAGTTCTCCCCCAGCAGTGCAACCCCTCCCCCGGTGCCCGGCACCGCTCCGCGGGCATGAACATTGGATAATGAGACTCAGAGAGTGTGGAAAAGAAACAACACGGTGCAGATTGCAGAATAAGCTGACAGCCTGGCATTCCATTCCCCATCTGCCGCTCTCGCTATTCAATTTAATTGAAATAATCCTCCACGTCCCCCTCTCCGACTACCCCCAGTCCACGTCGTCCTCGGTCCTACGACGCAACGTGTGCGCCCAGGTGTCAAGTACCCGTCACCCTCTGCTTTGTCCGACCGCCTCCTCCTTTCATCTTCCACAAGATCTTCCGCTGCGTTTCTGCTGTGCCTGCCCAACCGAGTCAACCGGCTGCAGCTCTTGGGACTTTGGACTCTGCGAGTCTCGGAAAGGCCATGTCAGGATTGTCGCCAAGACATAAGTGCCAAGTATTTTCAGACGAACGACGGCCAAGGAAATTGACTTTTGCTAGACCGCAAAGAGGCACCCACCAAGCCTGATGTTGCCCGCCAACGGCGCCAAGGGGGTGTGAGAGGAGAAGAGCCCGCCTGGCGCCACCCCTGAATCGTTAAGGTTTTCCAGGGGCCTGCATCCAGGTTTTTCGTCCGTCAAATCTTCGATTTGCAGTTGCCAGTTGCCACTGCGTCCAGCCATTGCTGGCTTTGTGTTCATCTGCATATGGGCAATGGCGTGTGCCTACTACAGGATAAGCAGATACCATCGCGCTGCAGCTCTCGGTGAACTTGCGGCCCTTCGGTTTGCATCTTTCGGAAATGGAAAAACGAGAATAATCTATTTTTAGCCAGTGAATAGCTAGACTGATCGTACGGACTAGATGTGCTTGTCGCACCACGCGGGCAGCCATCCCCGGATCAACGACTGGTGGTGAAAAGTCCCCAACCACTCTGTCGATCACATGCCACCCGACTCCTCACATCTTAGCCAGCCGTTGCTGACGAGATTGCTTCTATCAACGCTCGTCTCATCCAGAGTGGCATCAGATGAGCTTATCCAGCAGCAAAACCTCACCGACTGAACAATTCGCCGATCTCTGGAGCCGCAATCATAAATCCCCGTCTTGCTTGTTCACGCGTTCATTCGCGCGGGGAGCCGTGGGTGCCGTAGGAACCTGGGAGGGGACTCTCTCCATCGTGCCGATCCGGTAACATCGGACCTTGGACGTCGAAGCAACAATTTTGAAGTCTCCGGTTCGGCAGCCCACGTCGCAGCCGCAGGCGGGTTGTGGGGAGACGTGATGCTCTGCAGATTCCTTGCGTCGATGAAGATGAACACGGCCATTGGCATTCGTTTATGGGTACAGTTATGTGTACTCCGTACATGGATCCAGCATTGCCATATCCGTAAGATACCAACTATGTAGGCTAGGTACTTCGGCGTTTTTCATCTCATTCCACCATCTTGACTATGCGCATAAGAACACGACAAGTAAGATACCTTCCAAAATGACTTCATCCACTCATTCAGGACGATGACGACGTAGGTGATTGTGATACTCGAGGCTCTTCCTGGTTCCTTGGAATCCCAGTAACTTCGGTCTGAGTCTCCGTACCTCCGACGTTGAAGCACGGCATGCCAACATGAAGCAGCGGTGCAAAGTTCATGTTGGCATGAGTTGTGGTAGCGAAATTATTCAAAGGCAGCCCCTCCTCATACGATCCATCCGTCTGACCCCAGTAAAAGGGTCCCGTAGTAAGGTTGCTTAGGATTGAAGGGATAGGCTCGGTGAAATCATGCAGCAATGGGCCTGTTAGGGCTTCTGGCATGCTCACAACCGAGCTAGGTTGATATGTAGAAGTTTCCTCAATCAATGGTAGCGGTCCGTATGATCCGGTCGGTTGAACGTTGAATGAAGTATGTTGTCCCAGGGCAATACCGCTATCTGCTAAAGAAGCAGCCGGAGTTCCCGCATGAATGTTGCTCCGAGGTGTCTGAGCAAAAGATGATGCTGAATTCGGGGCTTGCGAGATCAGAGTCCGGCTCGACAGCCACTCCCTCTGCATTCCAAACAGTGCTTGGCTGATCACTCTTTGAACGAGTATTGTTTCTTCTTCGGTAGTAATGCCCTGAAGCAACCCTGCTGACTCCAATGCTTCATGCAGGACAGGCCCAGCGCGAGCATCTAGATGCTCTTGGAATGCTTGAAGGTCTTCGGAAATCTCTGGATCCATATACGCAGAGCGAGGCCTTGCCTTTCCGGGAAATAGTATCTCCCAGATTGCAAACCACTGACGCTCGTCTGATTGTGAAGAGGTGGACTTTTTATGAAGCTTCCTGCTCTGTTCGTGTGATATTCCGTTCAATGAGTCTGGTGTCGCAAGGGTGCAAGACCAGCCTGTCTCATCAGAAACGTGCTGGCGAAGGGCGATGTCGTTTTCGAAGAGCCTTAAGCAGCGCTGACAATAGTGCTTAGGTGTATGGTTCCTGTTCAAATGCTGTTTGACGTCACGAACCCTAGTGAGCTTTCGTTTAGCACAGTTGTGATGCTTGAGGGTATCCAACTTCCAGAATGGACAAGCTAGCGTGAGTTCCTGCTTCTTTCCAACACAAGTCCTTTTCCTATCTTGTTCTGATTCGATTCCTTCTCCAGCTTTTCGTTTCCCCTTGGCAAGGGGTTGCCCGCCGGTTGAAAGTGGAGCTTGTCCTTGCGTTGTTGCGAGTGTTACTGAACTGAAACCATCACCACCCCCGGTAGTTTTTCCACGAGTCTGAAAAGAGTGTAGAGCGAGCAATGAAAGAGCAACTTCTTTAACGACGTCAAATATAGGGTCGTTTTCTGACAACCGTGGGATAGTAATCTCAACCGATAGCTCCGACATCGAGAGGAAATCGGATTCGATTGACGTTTCTGATTTATTGGCAATATCGGTGATATCAACCTGAGAGCTGGGCTCAGTTGGGGTACCTTCATCTGCTGTGAGGTCAATGAAGGAACGTAAGTCATTATTTCCCATTGTTGGTGTATTTGATGCACGTCGCAAGGTTCCCGATCGGTTTTCAATTCGCAGTGTTTGCTGCGCCCTATCGCTGGAGTCCGGAGTTGAAGCGACGTCCATTTGGTGGAGACAGAGGTCTGTATAAGAGTTAGTGATACAATTTATCATCGAAGCCACTCGATGCAGACTTACCTGGATCTATGGGTGCATCATTGGGGTCTAAGATGTGGCGACCTTGTTGCAGTGCGAGTAGGTAGGCCCAAGGTTCCCTTATGTCCAAGCCTTCCGTAGAGAGACAGCAAGGCTTCCTGCCATTTGAAATGTTCTGCCAAAGATACACATCCTCCTGGCCACTGACCAAAGCGATAGTCTTGTATGTTCCTTCAAGGAGCACACGTCCCTTTCCTATTGTGAGATTGTACTCTCCAATGTAATCTTGAAGGACCCCCCAAGGAACCTCGATTCCGGCAAGGCTGACCGGACGACTCAAGATGGGAAACCCTGCCATGACAACAAAGCGTCTGTCTAGGATCTTTGTCCAGCGAACTTCTTCCAAGGTCAACGAGTCTTTCACCTCCTCCCTCACCGTGATGTCAAAGCCCACTACGTCCTCGGACAACATCGTCTCCTGAACATCTTGCCGAAAGACAACCGGAGTACGGTAAGCAATGGATCCATCGTAGTGCCGGGAAACAGCAGCAGAGAGCCATGCCAGTTGCTCGCCGAATTCAGCAATTAAGTAGGAGGATCCCTGAACCGTTACAACCAAGTGTTCGCCTTCAAAGGTCGCTCTCAGACTCGCACTAGAGCTATGCACCAACTCAACTATGAATATGTCAGCTTATTTGTCTAAAGGCAACTCGGGAATTTGGCGTACCGATGCAAGGCTTGTTTGGACTATGATCCTCAAAGTAGTGCATGACTGGTAATAACAAATTGAGCAAACTGACCCAGCTTGATGGCCATACTTGCTCCAAATAGTTCTTGAGAGGAATTGCCTGGCTTCCATCTTTACAATACACAACAATGAGAGACTCAAAGGTCGGCCGCCTAACGAAAACTCCCTGCTCAAGATCAACACACTGCCATGACGACGCAGCGACGAAAGGCCATTCGAGAAGTCGAAATTTGACGGTATGAGTTTTTGGAGGATTCTTTTTGCTGATTCTACCCGTTGGAAGACACTCAAGTATAGCCTTTCGGATTTCCCTGCGGGTGTCGATTCTGAAGTTGTCCTGGTCCCATTGCAAGCTCATCTCATTCCTCAGACGCGCAATAAGCCAGTGAAACGCACTTCCGCTGAGCACGATGCTACGAAAATCAGACATTGCAGCCGGCCCTAGGGTGTCCTCTTCTGCGTCCTCGATACCCTCAAATCGATCTTGCTGAGGGGGTGATGGACAACTCACGTCCATCTTACTATTCCAGAGTCTAAGCTTATCCTCAACAGACATGCCAGCCATATGGTCTGAGGTATCCTCACGGGGAGGCTCGTCAATATCAGCCTCATCCTCAAAATTTGACATAAGCTGAGTTCCGATTTGCCTGGATCGCTCCCATTGTAAGCGTACTGTTTGTCCGAGCGATGATGGGAAAGGTCATATGTTTTCTTCACTCACCGGCCACGTTTATGTATGAAGTACATGATACTCCTATTGGTCTGGGACGAAGAATTGAGTCCGATTTGAATCGCAAACGACTTGATGACTTCTGGTAATATCGGAGGCAGGGATTGCCAAGCCTTGATACTAGAATGCCGGACCAGTTCATGATGTATTCCACTAGCTAATTCGATGATGTATTGTTGTGCGGGGCTTCGTTTAACGGCGCTGGCGACCGAGTACGAAGTTCTTGCCTCAGAATCGTTCATAAGAGGTGTAGAAAGATCTCTGGTTATACTTCTTTCATGGCAACTGGAGAATATATCGGGATGGCACTTCGAGCCATACCCAGAGTCGGGGGGAGGAGGAATTCGACGAGGAGTTACACTGGAACCTTTGTCGCCGCCTGGATGAAGTTGCGTCGATATAGTCTCCTTGAGATCTTCCGGATGTACAAACGCATTACCCTCAGACTCTGGCATTGAGAGCTCTCCACAATCGGGATATGGTAATGAAGTAAAGAAATTATAGGGAGTTGCATGGAAAAAGGGCGGCGTGGAGTTTCCTGTCTGATTGTGGGTCTGCCAAGTAAGATAGGTGTTTTCGACGTCGTCTCCATAGCTGTAGAGATGCTCGGTGAGCGAGTCGTCAGATGTGTTGAAAGAAGCTACGAGTGTTGAACTTTCGTCTGTCGCAAAAGAAGGGTCCTCGATTGAGGCTTTCAGCATACTCGGAACCGCTAGTGCGATTTCTGAAGAGAGAAAGCATGGTGAAGCCCGACTGCTGGAAAGGAATGCCGTGCTGCTGGCCGGGTCCAGTACATCCACTGACTCATCGTAGAATACTTCAGAGGCCTGAAGATTTCGCTGGGATAACGTGTTATACCGTTCCGCGCCGACACAGTCCACCGCACAGTTTACGGGTCCGGTCAGAAAAATCGACGCATCGACTTTGCAGTTCGGTATCTGATGAACCTCGATATCTTCCGCGCATTGGGGAGCAGGGCCCCGCAACAATGCCTCGCCGTGCTCCTCAGTGAAATCCATCCCTGTAGGCATCCGAGTCGCGTTCAAGGTGCGGTGAAATCCAAGGTCTGATCTGCGGTACTGAAGCCCCCCCTTCGCCGGAAAGCGAACAGGAGTAGAGGATACTGGCACTCGATGGAAAGATTCGATTCCAAGGCTGGCTAAACTTGGGTTGCGATCGTTCTCTCAGGATGAATGAGAGTGAGGAAAGGAAAAAACCAAGACCTGGACTAGGAGATTGCTAGAAATTTCCCTTCAGGCCAGGGATACGGCCTGCCGCTTCCGCCAAATCAGGCTGTGGCCCAACAGCGATATTGAAGGCACACCTGTGCCTTTGAACGCCATTCGCTGGAGTTGGTTGGCAACACGCGCATGAAGAATTGGCCAATCATTTCCAAAAGCACAGCAGCGTTTTCTCGCGGCCATGGTGCTAAGCGTGTCTTTGATTATCGGGGCCTGTCACGATTGTTTTTGCCTATTATGCTCAGAACGATAAGAGGTGTCACAGTGTCTGAAGAAGTTGAGTGCTCTCAGGCTATTTTCTTGACCGTAGTTAAAAGAAGCAAAATATATCAATCAAAAATACTAGAATAGATGCATTGTCTCCGGTCACCGTTCAATTGATCTCCTTCGACTAAAGTACCGTGGGCTTGAACTCAGGCAAGCAGTTGTACCGACAAGTCACATTATACAATTATCGACAGCATGTCAGCTAAATATTGCACATCAGACGCAACCACCAATGGCAGAGAGTAAAATACATTACCCATCGTGGAGATGAACTCGCTAATTTAATTAATTCAGGAATAGGGATGTTCCTCGCATTATGCTTGAAAGATTAGTCGCCAGCCCTCTCAGCCTCACGGAAAAACTGCAACAAAACATCCACAGTTGTGGTAAATGTTCTCGAGCTATCAAAATCAAGGAGACCTCGCAATATCCGAATGATTGGCAAGCGACCTGGGACTCAATGTTGCAGGCAAAGTTGGCGAAGAAGTGAACCACTGCAGGACCAGGTGATAGAGGCAAAACCAAAGTATCGTCGTTTGGTACTGACCCTCATTGTAGAGTCTCTAACATTCGACAAATTGATTCAACACACAAGAGCCTATACTTCAGAAAGGGTCGCGGGAGGTCGTTTATATCAGGTCTCCATGACCTCTATGGCTCAAGTGAAAGTAAACACAAGCGTATGTTTTACATGATTCGGAGTGAGCTTAGGGTTGGCAATCCGGCGTTCCAAATACATATGTAAATCATCGCGAATTCGAAATGGTGTTTTGGGATTTAGACGGGCTGCGGTTCGTACATTTAAAGATCACTAATGCGGGAACTACAATCGACACGCAAATATCGTTGCAAGGATAATGGAAAGTTTCATGCGTTTTCAATCAGTAGGTGCACCCGTAACCATCGGCATATGATATCGAACTCACATGGTCAGTACATCAAAGATCTTAATTGGATACTGGCGTGCATTTTGTAGAATAGAGATCGTCAGGGGACACTCATTCTCCGATTCGCTCGTAGTCTGTGGGGTAAATACGGTAGATCCGATCGATGATGACCCGATGACATCTCGACGCTAGTCCGAGCGCCAGTTCCTTCCCCCTTGCTCCTTGAGGAGATGTGAGAGTAATCAGGATGAATTCAAGCACATGGTCATTGCAGTTTAATCATAGCCCAACCGTGAAGCAGTTCGGTGGTGAATAGAGTTACCACATATTAACCAAGACGGCGATCCGTCCCGACCTCAAACATCGTGTTTCTACTTTTGACATCAGACCAACCCCCCATACCAAAGCGCCTTAGCTCGACCGTGACACATTTCAACGCCCTACCTTACCCCATCGATCGTCGAAACCGTGGCTTTTTCCTCTCTAACCCAGAGTAGACCAAAAAATTACCAGTGCGGGACATTTCTTATTTCACGCCAGAATAGAGGCATCATAGATGTTTACGCCAGTGATGTCACCAATCACCGCGTCATTGGGGACCTATGCTCCTTCTCCCTCGCAGCATCCACGAGAATTCAACAAAATCTTTGTATTCTGCTCCATACTCGGCGTTCAATTGGGCTTACAAGACAGAAAGAGAAACTCTACGACAATCATCGAAACCAATTTTAGCACCGGGCGAGACTCAAGCACCACGACTTCCATCCTTCACGCACCACCTTAACCACAGCCGGACCACCACCTCGAGCTCCCTCCCACCCAACCAAAATGAAGAAACCCGAAATCACCGAAACCAAAACCACAACAAACTCCAAAGACGAACACTGGAAAACCCAAGCCCCCTACATCGCCCCAGGGAAATCACACCCCCACGGCGAAGCCTTCCACAAGAAAATCCGTGGCGCCTGCCAATGCGGCCAAGTAACCTACTGGCTTTCAAAAGATGAGCCCCTAGCATCAAAGTTCTGCCACTGCAGAGATTGCCAAAAGATGCACGGCGCGCCCTTCCAGTGGGCCGCCATTTTCCATAAAGAAGACCTGGCGTTCGATAACGGGGTTGATGGGTTGACGTTCTACTCGTCGGGGAAGAATTTGCAGGGCCACGATTTGCCGTGTAAAGTGAGCTGCGGGTTCTGCGGGAGTCGAATCATGGATGAGGGCAGGAACATGGTATTGTTGTTCCCTGGGCTGTTGCATTTTGATGGGGAAGAGAAGAGGAAGAAGTTTGATGTTCAGTGAGTACTTCCTTCGTTGTCAAGGTGAACGCTTGGCTGAAGGCCGTGATGCTAATCGCTGAGTAGGAAGCACATCTTTTACGGGCAGAGGGTCGTTGATCTTCCCGATGGAAAGCCCAAGTGGAGCGGCCTAGATGAGAAGAGCGAGCTAATGGAGGAAGAGGTTGTAGATGTGAAGCACAAGAAGCGGAAGACGGAGCATACCAATGGCGACTAATATGTCGAGCCTCTAGATGAAATGTATTTGTGTAATATGTAAATCAGTAAATCCAAACGCTTGACGCCATCTTATGCTCGTGATAATGCTCTATATCCAAAATAACAATCTAAATCGTCTCAAGATCCCTCATCGCTTACCAGTTGAAGCTTTCTTGGAAGTATTCGATTCTAGACCACCCACGGCCAAGCATTTCAACAACTGACTTTCGAGCATCGTCGGCCATAACAGCAGGCCCACACGCAATGACGGCAAGACTCGCCTTATCAGCTGCGGTGGCCGCGTCCTGTACCTCTTCACGAACTTCGGGACGCCCGTGAAGTAAACGAACCTGCTCCGGCCACTCCTCTGGCCGCGCAGCATTCGATGCAAGACTGTGTTGTGTAACATAAATATCGACCGACAACTTCCCACAATCAAAGGCGTCTTCAAAGTCATGGCGTAGCACATCCACCGCGAAGCTCAGTTCGCGGACTGCCCAGACGATCTTAATCGACCGAGTCTTTGAAGATGCCTTGGTGAGCTCTGCGAGGTGGGCGAGCGGCACCACAATACCACTGCCTCCAACGATGAAAAGGAGGTCATCGAACTGGTTGAAGGGCTGCTTGTGACCGTAGGGACCTTCCACGAGGACGCGGAGGCGTGCAGGGCGGGGCCACTGCGCTGCTGCATCCTCACGTAGGCGACCGGTAAAGCTGTCGTACGGGCGGATGAGGAACGTCATTGATGGCTCGCCTCTCCTCGGCTCGTACCCAACCTCAGAGATAGGTTCTATATCATGCTCTCCCGCTACGAGTAGGGGAGTCTGCTCGCTAGATGACTTTCTTCTAACGTTCATGTTTGTCGTTGTGCAGGCCATTGTGAATGGGTGGCTTTCCCAAAATCGCTTGTCGCTGAGGACATGGAGGTAATAGTAGGTGCCAGCCTTGGGCTCGTAGAAGCTAGTCGAGTATGGGACATTGATGCGGACGATGTTCGAGTTCGCGTCATACGTGGCGAGGGCGAACGTATTCCAGAACTTGAGGTTGAAGGACAGCGTCCGCGACATGCGTAGAATACGATCGCCAATCCAAATGAGGCAAGGTACCCAGAAGAGAATGTCAAACTGCCCAAGGAAGATGGAGACGTGGCTAGAGTTCATGAGTACTGGGAAGTCAAGAGAGAAGAATGTCGAAACTTACCCAAGCATGGTGATGAGGACAAGAATCGACAGTAGAATGTGAAGAATGAGAAAGAGCTCGTATTGCTTTCGTCGCATCCAAAAGACGGAGGCAAAGAGCAAGGCGCACATGCCAACGGTAGCCTTTGGTTTGAGGTCAGCATATGCTACTGAAAGCCCAAGAGGGCATTACTCACAAACCATCCTTCAATCCACCACATCTGGTGCCAATACGACATCCAGTAATTCCAATCGCCGTCTGAAACAAGTTAGCTTTGAACTTCGCAAGAGGTGGTGTGCGTCCTACCATCAAAGACCAGAACAACGTAGCCGACGGAGTGGATGACAGCTTGGAGCGTCGAGACGCGGGCAACCCAACGGTGGAAGTTGTTGTACGTCCCGAAGTCCCAGCCGGTCAGCCACATGAGAAGGTTGTTCCTCATGCCAAATAGCCAGATGATGGGGAAGTTGGCGAAAGAGATGATGCCGGTTCTATCGGCTACATAGCGCCAGACCAAATGGTATTTCTGCGGCCAACTAGGGGGGCGTGAGCTAGTAAGGTAAGGCGAAGAGTAGAGCAAGCTACACTTACTACATGTGACCGGAGAAGATCCAGTACCCGTGCACACAGAAGAAGACGTTCGCGGCAATAAAGGTGAAGATGGTGAGACTCTGGATGCGTGGCGGAATGGTGCACCAGCCGAGATTCTGAGAGCAGCGGTAGCCGAAGGTGGCGGGGACGGTGATGTATCGCTTGAGCCAGAGGGCGGACCAGTGAAGGATGCTGGACGACTTTCGTGAATCCCATTCCTGCTTTTGAAGGTTTCCGATGGCCGACACAAGGCGAGATCCCAGCCCGATGGCGACAACGATGAACCAGAAGACAATCACATAGAACCTGGGTATGAGAAATTAGCGACCGCTACCCAAGCATAGACGAAAGCGAGGGCACGTACCCATATCTGTAGTGATTACCGTATGTGTACTCGACGGATTCCTATGTGTTGTCAGTCCTTGAGTTCCAGTCCGGGGAAATACTTGGGTCCCATACGAGAGAGTCGAACCAGATCTGATAATAAGCGTCCGCAGGCAACACCACCTCATTCAGCACAGTCGACGAGTTGGACCCTTCCGCTTTAGTCAACCTCCGCAAGCCAGCAATGTCCTCATCAGAATAACCAGCGACGATCTCAAAGGGCGGTAGCGAGGTGTTCATGTAGGCCTGGCACGTGTGGTTGACATTGCTCAAGCCAGCGACACGGTGCGTCAAGTCGCAGTGCAGGTCGGCGCAGAGGTAGAGCGACTTGATGTGCAGCTGGCTCACGCACTGCGGGATCAGCCTCGACCTTGAGGGCAAGCTCCCATTGTAGGACTGTGTGTCGTTAAACTGCGGTTGGCGGAGGGTGTTGGAACATGTGTCGAAGCAGACGCCGCCGCTGCCTGCGAGGGCCGAGGCGGAGGCGACGAAGAGGCACAGTGCGGCGATGAGGGTGGGCGGGAGTAGCCGGAGCCCCGACGACGGAGCGCGCATATTCACGGCCGAGTTGCGGGTATTTGCATCGACAAAGCAAGCCGACCGTGGGGTGCGCGTTATGCCGATGCACGGGTCCCCGAAAAGGTCGCGATGATGCTGTTGATATGTCGTCGAGAGGTGAGGTTGCAGGAGGTAAAAGCTGAGGTTGCCCGGGCGGGGAGACCTCAGGACAAAAAAGTAAGGTGGAATTCGCTGAGTGCAGAAAGTGCGCTTGGGGCAGGTGGCAGGTGGGCAGGTGGGAGAATTTGATCTTATCAGATCATCTGATTAAGCAATTGCCCCACTTTACATGCTTAGGTTATCGCGAGAACCCACCGGCATCGGCTCGCCGCGGCTGCAGCGTCACACTTGGATGTGGGCCGACACCACCTTGACCATCCATTTATAATTCACGTTTCGTGTGAGGCATTGCCAACGGTCTCCCTGTTCACAAGGCCTCTATGGAGTGGGCTATACCACCATCAACACTCCGCAGTCATCTTAACAGCACACAGAGCGGAAGGAGGGATTTCCTAAGCTTCAATGGCTTCCTTCATGCTAACTGAGTAGGATAGAACTCAGTATGTTCTGGGAATCTCTTCTACGCACTACTAGAAAGATTTAGGTATTTCTCTGGACAGGTGCTTCGTACCTATGGGGACCTCAAGTCTGCTCCAGGAAGCAAATCGCGGAAGAAGCCACTGCATGAGTGACCAAGACCGGGATTGGCTCGGCAGCGATCCGAAGCTGGGCAACCGACGCCGCCCCGAGTGCGGCAAATGTAGCTGTGGCGGATCCCATCAACGTCTGCCCGCAGGCCCCACTCCCGGTCAGGACCGGCCACATGTATCGGTGCAGCCGAATGAGGACCTCCGTATTCTTGCCAGAAGAGAACTTTGCGACCGCTTGTAAGAACATATCCTTTGCGCTGGGCCAGATTGTATGTGATAGTCTGGGCTTGATGCTGGCGGATGGCAACTGACACGCCGACTCAGGGTATTTTCCGAGGTCGTTCTGCAAGCATGCCATTCGAAAGAACCAGGGATGACCTCGTTTGATCAACCTCACCGCTACGGGCGTTCCCCACTGCGGGCACAGCGGATTGATCTGGTCAACACTGCCAGACTGATCCCAGAGTAGGGTAGGTATCTATGCTGCTGGAGGTACCGATAAACTGTCACGATGGTATCACTGTTTCCTGACACCAATTGCTCCCATATGAACTCTCGACCCTAGATGCCCACAAATCCTCCTAGCAGCTCCAAAGACAACGTCAGTGGTCAAATGGATATAGATTGGCAAACTCGTCGACGTGTCCCGAATCACTCGACCCGGACCGCCCACTCGAAATCCACTTACGATGAGGCACAAGTTCGAACAAAAAAGAAACTCTGGGGCATATCTCATGCTTCGAGCTCTTTCGGAAAGAAGATTGTTACAGTCTCTAACATCGGCAGGTTAAGTCTATCAGAGGGCTACGGTATTCAAGACGTTTATTGTAAATACCAGTTGTCGGCTTCATTGATGACACTCATGAGTGAATGCACGTGACAAAGGTTTCTCGTTCTAAAGCCATTCGACCAAGGCAGTTAGCACGTACCGCAGTAGTGGGGGATGCAGGGATCAGTCCGATGATGCCAATCAGGTCGGTGGACTTGGGCCATGATGCTGAGCCATTCACGTGCACGCGATTGTGACTTAGCTCCCCCAAGGATGATTAGTGCAGCGTCAGCTCTCATATCTGACATAAGCCGCTCATACTCATTTGTTTCCTACTGGCGGAATGAACGAAGAGGTTAACCATAATGAATCTTGTTCCTTGCTGACTGTATGAGCTTGACTTTAGCGAGGTGTAAGCCATTGGGCTAGGTAATCCACAGGTTCTAAGGCAAATATCTCTAAATAGAGATGAATTCCTCCTTTTTGTAGACAAATAACTTCTCAAATGTACCAGCAATCTTTCTTCGAGTCGTCATGTTTGGCACTCCACTAATTTACTCCGTAGCCATAGTGCTACTCTGCTACATTATCTTTAACCGCATCCAACAACGACATAGGGGTCCATTGCCGCCTGGACCCAGAGGTTTGCCATTTCTCGGCAACATTTTGGATCTTCCCCCTTCCGGAACCCTTGAATGGGTACATTGGCAGAAACACAAGGAGCAATATGGCCCAATCACCTCAGTATCTGTGCTTGGCCAACGTTTCGTCATTCTCCATGACAAACAAGCCGTGCTTGACATGTTGGAGACACGCGCTCTGAAGAGTGCGTCGCGGCCTAAGCTGGTTTTTGCTGGTGAGCTGTACGAGATTCACTTCCACGAGAAT